AAGACACGTGAAACCTCAATGTAAATCAACCTAGTAAATAAATAGCACAAACCTAACCATGGACGCAATAGGTCAGAACCCCGACAGTAATAATAATAATAATAATGGTAATAATAAGAATGATAATTAAGATAATAATGAAAATAATAATAAGAATGATAATAATAATAATAATAGAAATATCATAATCATAATCATAGACTTATTAATAATAATAATAATAATAATAATAATAATAACAACAATAAATAACTAAATCTATACAAAGCTCATTTCCCTGGCCTACAGCATGTTCGATGCGCTCTACAACCGCCATCGTTTTCCCAGCAGACCCTACTATAACACTCAGACACTTTCTCCGCTTCCAGTCAGGGCCACATCGAGAGCAAGCAGCCGATGGAGCGTTCATCAAACACTAACTAACAAGCTGACGAGACCTTTCGTGACCCCAGTGCTTCCTTGTTGTCGCATCTCTATTTTTTAAAACAGTGAAAACGGGACTTCTTCTTCTTCTTCTTACGCTCACTTTTTTGTTACGAACTGTTTTCACTGTTATTAAAAAATAGAGACACGGCATGACAAAAAAGCACTGAGGTCGCGCTTTTTGTCTATCTATAGCTGAGTACCCATTCCCACGTGTGTGAAGTGAGGAACATTTGTGTCAAGTCAACTGCCTTCTCTTCCTCTTGTGCATTCGTCATGAACAGACCCAACACAGAACGAACAACAACAGAAATTTAAAAAGAAAGAAAAAACAAAGAACAAAAAAAACCCCAAACAATCCAAACAATGAGTGTACCTTAACTAAGACAGTCTATCTACATGACTAGATATACGGTAATATCAAGGTGTTACAATAGACTCCACCGTTGTTTTTCTCACAATATCTCATTTATCTATCACTATAACAAGTAGCACTGAGCCAGCACAAGGCAGTGAGAGAGACAAAAAGGAAATGCACCCCCCCCCCTTCCCCCCAAAAAAACAAACTTTTCACTAAGGACACACAACCTCTCACTTGGGATGCTCTATTCTTCAGGCTACAAGTTTACAAAAACCCTTTCACGACCTCAGTGCTTTCTTGTCGTATCTCCATTTTTTTAACAGTGAATATAAGAATTCTTCTTCAGGTTACTCTTTCGTATGATCTGTTTTCACTGTTATTATAAACGGAGATTCCACAAGAAAGAAATGAGGTCACGATTTGTGGACAGAAAAAAGTAGCTCAGGTCTCCTCTGCTATCTCGTCACTGAAGTAGTGAAAGGAGACAGCCTCAAAAAAGAAAATGAATCCCCAAGTAATATTATAGTGACGTGACTTTTCAAATTGAATGACTAAATTACAACAAACTTTGCAAGTCTTGAGAATGCCCTAAAATCCAAAACTAAAACACACACACAGGAAGTTCAACAGCAAAAAATTAGCTAAACGTAAAAGACATTTTCTTATAGTAAGCAATTTTTCTCCGATGAAAAACGAAAATCAAAAGCCACAAAAACCATGGCGAGAAAGAGTATACTGTATATATATAACATGATGTACGAGTACAGCAAAAACTGATGATGTGTGACAGCAAGATGGGATGCGATTGTGCCAAAAATCAATTAATGACATTGCCAAGTAGTGATTAAAAAAGTGAGATTCTCAAACATTGTTTTAACTACAAAGATTACAATCAGCAGCCCGATCTAGGAGCAAAACATTATGGGAAAATTACTACAGAAGGAAGTATCACATGAGTAACAGCATGCATCATCGCTATTATCAAAGCAATGTGGTTTGGTAGAAAAAAAACCAAGTTGTTTGAGGCTCATTTGGTCGCTTTAAGCCGGCTACCCCAGTTCTCGGGGGGTTTTCCAGAATTCTTGACCTACATCAAAAGTGGGCATCGCCCTACCTTTTGGAGAAGTTTGGTTTCATTGGTGTGTATATTTGTTTGGTTATAGAGAAAACTTTCCTTGTCTTTTAAAGAAACTGAACAAGGGGGAAAAAAACTTAACCTTCCATTTTCTCAAAACAGCATTTTTCGGGGTAGCCCCATTGTGCTTAAAAGCGACCATTTTAAAACTTGTTTTCAAGAGTGCTTTACATCCATAACCGGCAAATTTTCGAAACAAAAAATACAGACTCTATGGAAGTGGTGTGTCATCAGGATAGTGAGCATAGGACAAGTATCCCACCCCACCACCCCCACGCACTCCAAACCCTCCACACACACACACACTCCAAACCCTCCACACACACCCCAAACCCTCCACACACACACACACACTCCAAACCCTCCGCACACACACACAAACACACACACGCACTCCAAACCCTCCACACACACTGTTGAGTTTCGAGTGAAGAGAAGGGCCTCGACTCAATATTCGTCATTTAGTGCTGGGAAAAAGTAAGACAGACAGACAGACAGACAAACAAAAACAACAGAGAAGGAAAGTAAAGAAGTAGGACCAACCAGTGGCGCCCTCCAACCATCCGCACACACACTTTACTGCATTCAAATCAACATTCAAGTCTTTTAGTAACATTCCACGAAGCTGGCAACTGCATAAGAAAGCAAGAATGACAGGCAGACAGAATGGACAACACTTGCAACACAATAAGGTCATATAAGTGTTGAAGATGAAAGGTGTTACAAGAGAGTGACATACACAAAAAAACGAGGAAGAGAGAGAAGGATGATAGTTTTTGATAGGACAGATGAAGCAAACCCCACTAGAGCACCCGCCAACCACCCACGGAGAAGAGTATCATTGTGATATCAGACATAGGCCAGCCAGTAAGAGGATAAACATTTAGTAGTAGTAAGACTTTTACGGCGATCGCAACTGCTCAAGGTCATACGAGCGTCATCCAGTGAAAGCACACACAACAAAAACAACAACAACAACAACAAAAACAACAACAAAAACAACAACAACAGCAACAGCGCGAGCTACAACACAGGAGTATCCATGAGATAAAGTCGAGAACAATCAACACGTTTGTACAGGCTGTATCACATTCATTGCCGTAGATACCCAAGCGTTGAGAACAAACAAGGTGGCTGTGAAGGCAAATGGGTGCGATCACAATACGGTAACAAGAATTAGAAAGCTAAGGGGGAGGGGGGGGAGAGGCTGGTAGCCAGATGGATATACATACAACTCACAGTGAGACCTGCCGAAAAATACAATTAAAAAAAAAAAAACAAGAAAAGGATTCCGAGCAACAAGTTATATATACACGGAACCAATAGGGGGCTAGAAATAACAAGCATTGCTGTTAAAATTTTTACAAAAACTTGAGTTGGATAGGGGTTTATTTCTAGCTCATTAAAGTAATGGTCACTTTTCTGGTTCGCTGAGAAAAAGATTGTAATGTCATGATGTCTGTACAGAAATATACCAGAAATATACGTAACAATAAAAGTCAGAATGAGCAGCGGTTAAGTGCTGCTCAGTCGAGTCACACACACATCCTTCACTCAGTCACACACACACACACACACCCTTCACTCAGTCACACACACATCCTTCACTCCGTCACACACACACACACACACACCCTTCACTCAGTCACACACACACACACACACACACACACACACACACACACACACACACACACATCCTTCACTCCGAGCTGTGTGTAGTACAGCAGCAATCTCTCCACTCATAAAACAAAATTTAAAAAAAAAAAGAAAAGGAACCACAACACAATTGCAAGATAAATAATCCCATACAGCATCTCTCCGAAATAAAGAATGGAAGAAGAAGAGAAAGGAAACGAGCCGGTCAAAAGTGATGGCAATGTTGTTACAAATTCCAGTAAAAAAACAACAAAATTAATCTCACATCCACAACCAAAGAGTAGGCCGATGCGTACGAGTTGACTGGTATAGGCGGGGACTGCAAAGAGCATTGGGAAAAATGGCACCAGAGCATGAAAGTTTGATTGATTGGTTCAGTAGTAATGTTTTACGGCGCTCACAACTGCATAAAGTCATATGCATGACAGACTGTCCTGTATTGACTTACAAGCCAAACAATCACGTACGAAGATTTTTATACGACATCCACAGTTTGTTTTAGTTTTAGTAGAGGTTTTACGGCGCTCGCAACTGCATAAGGTCATATGAGCACCAAGGGGTGGATGTCAAAGAGAAGTCCTTAAAGGGAATCAGGCTTACTCTGCTCACCTCTCTAGCTTCAACAGCTCAAAGTCTGCTTCGACTTTCAAGGCACCCCAGAAATAGCGGGTCACAAGAGTGTGACAAACATATATAAAAGAAGTAGAGAAAAAAATGACGATAGTAAGGATTAGGAACGAAAAAGCAGCAGTTCCCTGTTGCAGTTCAGGCACAGTTATGAGCATTACATTGATGAATCAGCCCATTTACAATTCTACTGTGCATAAGAACATGATATCCCCCCCCTTTGGGAATGGCCTAAAGACACTTCAGTCTGTAGCACCGCCCCGGGGGGGGGGGGGATCTTCCAGTATGGAAAAAGAAGCCAAAACCTTTAAACACTCCTGTGTTGCAAAGAGATAAAGTTGGATTAAAAAGGGGGTGGGGGGTGGGGGGAGGGGGGGAAAAAGGCAGAAACACTGAAGAAACAGAAGAGTCGCAATATTTTGAGATTATAGCTTCTGTTGTGAACTTTTCCCACTATTTGGAACCAGACAGACAAGTGACCTTTAGTCACGACACAGACACAACCATTTCTCGCGACACAAAACCGGATTGATTGCACAGCTCCACAAAGTTGGAGAGTAAACGTGTTCTTACATCACTCGGCACAGCGCGGCAGAGACACACTTCTCTGGCTTCATCATCATCAATGCTTTTAACTTCCACCCCTGGCAGGGTATAGGCCACATACAAGCTCCTTCCATTTATCTCTGTCCTGGGCCATCCTTTCACCCCTGGCAGGGTACAGGCCACACACAAGCTCCTTTCACTTATCTCTGTCCTGGGCCATCCTTCCAAGCTCGTTCCAAGTGAGCTTCATTTCTCTCATGATGTTCCTTTCCACACATCTCCTCCATGTTTCCAGTGGCCTACCCCTGCCTCGTGCTCCCCGTTGTCTGGCTGAGAGCACATATACTTTCCTTCCTGATGTCTACATCCCTTCACTTCGACCCAATCAAAAAAACTCCAAAAATATTGTACTTTCTCAAGAGAGATCATTTTTTTAACACCAACTTTGGCTGGGAACAACTTGTATCTAAGGTAACAGACCAATGATGCCACAGCATTCGGTGGCCGCTGAAGATTTATCATCATCGCCTTTCTCACACTGGACTTAAGAGTATAGGTTACAGACAGACACTTTCCTCTTTTCGCCATCCAGGGCAAGCCTCGTGACATCGTTCCACGTCTCTCCATTTTTCTGGACATCACTCTTGACAACTCTTCTCCGGGTTCCGTATGGCCTTCCCCTTCATCTCTTCCCCTGTGGATTCCCATCCAACACGTTCTTCGTTCTGCTGATGTCTTGATCCGCCGTGAGGGCCGGCCATGAGACCGGCTCATCAAGAACACAACTACCACGACTGTCTCAAAGTTCAGCTTCACTTCTATGGCAACAACAAACACACTTTGACTGTTTCAGATTAATGGCTTTCACACTTTTCTCATTTAAAAACAGCAGAGAACACATATATCATATCTAAAGCCCTGATGTCTGAATAGACTTTTTTTCTTTTTCGCTCATACTGGTACTTTGAGGCTTTGGAATGGCCACTTCCTGTTACAGGAAAAAACACACACACACACACACACACACACTTAGGTCCACAGAACTGGCACTCTGAGAAACTAAACCTCCATTGAGAAAGAGCATTCAAAGACGTGTAGACGTGTTAGTACTTCTACCATATTTCTTCACACAAAACTATACAGTGACGTACAGTGACGGGTGATGGGGGGGGGGGGATTTGATTCGATAAGGGAAATCCTGGAGCAAAAATCCATCTTTTGTAGAGAGGACAGAAGATAGCAGAGTTTTGACATTTTGATCACTAACATGTGTTTGTTTATCTGTGTCTTCCTTTCTCCACATGGTCTCCACTTGAGAATCTTGAAGCCACGAAAGATGACACAGATTTTTGTTCAGAAGCCACCAAAGACGATCCTGACCCAGATCTCTGCTCAGAAGCCACCAAAGTCGACCCTGACCCAGATCTCTGCTCAGAAGCCACCAAAGACGACCCTGACCCAGATCTCTGCTCAGAAGCCACCAAAGACGACCCTGACCCAGATCTCTGCTCAGAAGCCACCAAAGACGACCCAGATCTTTGCTCAGACGTCACCAAAGACGACCCAGATCTCCGCTCAGACGTCACCAAAGACGACCCAGATCTTCGCTCAGACCGTGCTCTCACAAGGTTTCTTCTTGCTCTGCACCTCGTCAAAGATGACGGAACTGGCCAGCTCCAGGTTCCAGTCCAAGGTCTCGAGCAACCTCTGGCAGGAAGGTCGCGAGGCCACGCCCAGCCGGAACAGCTGCTCCACCTTGAGGTAGTTGACGGCGCGGTCCACGTCCCAGTGGAAGGTGCACAGCGCCGCGTGGCACTCCTCGTCTGTCACGCCGATCACACGGCTCTGGATGGCCGCGATGCGGTCGTGCGGGGACGAGCTGAGGAACATCCCCGGGTCGTCGTTGTTGCGGGTCGCGTAGTGCGCTGAGGAGGAGGAGAAGGACGACGATGTGAACGAAGAAGAGGAGGTGGTCGGGTGTCGCTGCTTACTTCTGTCTGACGACGGTTGTATTGGTCGCGGTCGGCTGGACACACTAGAGGAGGACGACCGGCTACGAGGAGACGAAGACCCCGCAGAGTGTTGTTGTTGATATTGTTGTTGTTGTTGATGGTGGTGGGGGTGGGAGTGGTGGACGGATGGGGCCGGGTGGTGTTGGTGGTGGTGGTGGTGGCGTGGGGAGGAGCAGTCCGACCCCCCTGACCCGCCTCCACTGGACCGCGACGAGGCGCTCGACATGTTGGAGAGGGAGCGGTGGACCACGTCGCGGGGGATCAGACCTGACAGGTTCTCGTAGTCCAGATGCTGCTCCGCGCGGTCGTCCGTGGCGTCGTAGCCCGCGTTGACCACAAAGGGGCGCACGGTGGCCGTTGACTTGTTGGAGTGGGACGGCGAGGACGCGTGATCTCTCTTCTGCGCCAGTGAGGAGGAAGCCGAGGAAGAAGAAAAAGAGGAGGAGGAGGAGGGCTGAGAGTCTTGTTTGTTGAGGGGCGGGATGAGAAAGTAGTGGGTGTGGCTCAGCTGCTGGCCGTCCTGCTTCAGTGGCAAGATGTACGGCTTCTCCGGAGATGTTTTGTCGCGCTGAGACCCGCCGCAGCTCATCATGTACGTCCGAGGGGGCAGGGGAGGGGGCTCGCCTGCGGGGCTCTCTAAATCTGTACAAATATTCACATTTTTCACACACGTCTCGTCGAAATCCTCGTCGTAGTCGTCAAACTCGTCGCCCCACGTCGCGTCGGAGAACGCCGAGCTGAAGGCGTAGTGGTCCGTGGGAGCCGTACTGTAGCTTCCTGACCGCGAGGGGGAGGAGAGATTGTCTGTCTTAGCAGGGCGGGACTGAGCGTTGTTAGCGTAGCGAGTCGGGGAGGCGGTCGAGTAGAGGCCACCATCTTCCACGGGAACCTCGTCGTACCTCGGATAACCGCCGCTGACGGAACGGGAGTACGCAGAGTTTATCTTCTGCTGCGCAGCACTCGTCGACGTTTTACCACCAGACAAATCTTCTTTCGACTCGTCTGGCACATCGTCATACAGAGGCAAACCTCCGTCGGTGAGAGAGTGGGATCTAGAGCAAGATTTTAGCTGGTTATTCATCTCCTTCTTTTGTTGTGCCGCCAGCGAGCTCACCGCATCTTTGAGCCAATCAAAAGCCTTCTCGGCTTTCTCTTTGTCGATGTTCTCTTTCCCGCCAGGGTCTGAGGAGCAGGAGGCTCGAGCAGACGGCCTCACCACGCTGTGGTGGTCGGGGCCGGTGCCCGGTTGGCTGAATGGGTTTCTGGACAGCGGGACGGTGCGGTGGTGACTTTGGTGGTGGCCGGCAGGAAACAGCTGTTGAGTTCCCTGCACCGCGACGTGAGCGTGCTGCGAGTGAGGACGAGCGGGGAACAAGTTACCGCCGATGGAAGAAGAGTCTGTTTGCTGAGGCGGTGGTTGTGCTGCTGCTTTTAATACTGTCTGCTCTAAACGTTCTTGGAACGCGCCGTCGACGCTGATGCTCCTTCCTTTGTCAGGACTGCCCATATACCCAGCAGGAAAAGAGGCGGAGGAGGAGGAGAAATTTAGTCCATGCAGCGTGGAAGCCCCAGAATTGCTCTCGCTGCTGTGCGCTGATTGTTCAATCACAGAGTAGCTATCCCCACGGCCCGAGGGCTGGGCCCCGTTGCTGTACGTGCTGTACTGAGCGTCTTCGGCCGGCGGCTCGCAGTACAGCAGTCCACCGTTGGTCGGGTGACCCCCAGGGCTGTCCTCAGATCTTGAGTAGTGAGACGTCGCGTTCCTGAACGGGGCAAAGGCCGAAGAGGAAGAGTTGCCGTAATGATGACTAGAAGACGCGCTCGAACGCGAGCTGGCGGACGTCAAATTAGACGCGGCGGTCGTGGAAGAAGAAAACGTTAAAGCGGACGAGGAAGATGAGGAAGCGGAGGAGGAGACCGTGGAGTAGGAGGAGATGCTGGTCAAGGCGGACACTGTAGCAGACGTGCTCGACCCAGAGGTCGTTGACCCCCAGGTTTTGTTCTCCGCCCAGGCACCACTGGCCGCCGTCTGACCAGCGGGGTTGAGGCAGAAGCGGGCGTTGACATCAAAAGGGTCGGGACTAGAGCCGCTGCCGAGGAGGGGGGCGGGGAGCTGGATGTTCCGGTAGTGGGTGGCCTCCTCCGTTACCGAGCACAGCGAGTCGAAGATGTCAAGGTCGCCCGAGTTGCCGTTGACGCGACCCTGCTGACCTTTGTCCGGCGGCGAGGTGGTGAGATCTATCAGAGCGACATCTTCCTGGAGTGAGCTGCTGCCTGAAGTGTCCACACTGGTGAGGACAGAAACAACAAACGGTCACCCAAAGACACTGATCAAACGGTCACCTCACTGCACTCAACAAATGGTCACCCTATCAGGTTCATCAAACTATCACCCCACTAGGCTTAAATCAAACTATCACCCCACTACACTCAACAACCAACTATCACCCCACTATATTCAACAACAAACTATCACCCCACTTGTTCACCCCACTAGGGACAAATCAATCTGAACTGAGCCTTCCACTACACAGCCTTCCACTTCCTCAAACAATGACTACACTGAATCTACAGATAAAAATAAAATCATGGAAGCTTTTAATGGACGGGCTAAAGTTTCCTTTAACCTCATTTCCCTCTCCAACTGGGTGAAGATAGAAAACGTTGCATTAAAAGCATCATATCCCCCCCCCCACTTAATTTATAACTGAGAGTCTGACAGCACAACAACTACACTATCACTGTCACAAGTTCCATGTCCTAGCAAAATCACTTTTTAAATTTTAGCAGAGGTTTTACAGCGCTCGCAACTGCATAAGATCATATAAGCACCAAGGAGTAGATGTCAACAGAGAAGTCCTTACAGGGAATCAGGCTTACTCTGCTCACCTCTCTAGCCTCAACAGCACAAAGTCTGCTTCGACTATCAAGGCACCCCAGAAAAAGCAGGTCACAAGAGAGTGACAAACATACAAAAGAAGCAGAGGAAAAGTAAGGATTAGGAAAGAAAAAGCAGCAGTTCCCTGTTGTAGTTCAGGTACAGTTATGAGCATGACATCGATGAATAAGCCCATTTACAATTCTACTGTGCATAAGAACATGTTAAGTGTCCCCCTCTTTGGGAATGACCTAAAGACACTTCACTCAGTAGCCCCGCCTCCGGTGGTATGAAAACACTTCACCCCTCATTCCCCCAACATCCATCATTCTATAACACATAACTGCTCCTGGCTAAACGACCTTGGGGAAACCCCAAAAGAAACCAGAACCCCCCCCCCCCCCCCCCCAAAACATGAGATAAAATTTCCAGACAGGAATGCATCGCAACATTTTTGTATCCCTTGTTTCTTCTCCTTCTCCAATTTCCCAAAGCAAAGTTTGGTTTAGCCTCAGCCAAAACTGAAAAGTGCAGAGAACACCCAAGTTTTCCAACAACAACAACAAAAAAAATCATCTTGCACCTGAGGGAATTTTTCCCTCTCTTTTCTTTCTTGACGGACGGAGCGGGCGGCCTTTTGGGGGCAGGCTGCTTGCCCCTCTGCTGGTGTTTGGGGGAGGGTTTCTGACCGGTGGGGGGGCTCTTCCTGGGGTCAGAGGTCGCCTCGTTCTTCAGCTTGTTGTAGTTGAACTGAGACTGGCTGAACAGATCTGAGAGAGAGAGAGAGAGAGAGAGAAGAAAATCAAAACTTGAGGAAACTTGTTTGTTTATTTATTTACTGTCTTCTTCCTTCTTCAACTAGCGTTAACACTATCCACCCTTGCAGCGAGCAAAGCGCACAACACGTATCCCCACAGACCAGGACACAGATGCGGTACACGCTATATCACACCGTCACTGATCGGCATCCCGTGGGGGGCAAAGTGTTAAGGCACGATGGGCATCAACTTAAACACTTTGCCGTCACATTTCATCGATCGGCATGAATGCCAAACTTCTGCTCCCGTCTCAAAACGCCGATCGGCGATGTTGTTCACCACCCAGTTTCTTTGGATTTCACCCAAAATGCTTGTGATGGCAAGGGTATTACTATATACCAGCTTTGTGATGGCAAGGGGTTTACTATATACCAGCTTTGTGATGGCAAGGGGTTTACTATATACCAGCTTTGTGATGGCAAGGGGTTTACTATATACCAGCTTTGTGATGGCAAAGTGTCAAATATTTATTTCCTGGATGTCCTTGTTAGCCACTTAGCAATAACTGGATGTTACTGGATCCACCCGGATTGCAGACCTGCTCAGCCACACAACTTCAAATCCCTAAAAAAACATTTTGAATATATTTAGTTTAGTTTTAGAAAGGTTTACGGTACTCGCAACTGCTTCAGGTCATATGAGCACCAAGGGGTGGACGTCAACAGAGAAGTCTAAACGGGGAATCAGGCTTACTCTGCTCACCTCTCTAGCCTTAACAGCACAAAGTCTGTTTCGATTTTCAAGGCACCCCAGAAATAGCAGTTCACAAGAGTGACAAACATATAAAAGAAGTAGAGGAAGAAAGATTACGACAGTAAGGATGAGGAAAGAAAAAGCAGCAGTTCCCCTTATGTTGTTCCGACACAGTAGGAGCATGACATTGATAAATCAGCCCATTTACAATTCCACTGTGTATAAGAACATGTTAATATCCCCCCTTTGGGAAAGGCTTAAAGACAACTTCAGTCAGTAGCACCGCCCTGGTGGGGGGGGGGGGGCGGTGGGGGGGGTAAAGGTAAACTAAGCAGCCTACTTTCAACCTGACGTGGTGCAGGGTAAAAAAAAAAATCCAACTCACTTCGCGATCCGAGCTGACCGGCTAGATCGTGGTCCTCCTCATGCAAGTCTGGCGGGTCCATGGGATTACGGAGGTAAACCCTGAGAGGAAACACATGGGACTTGTTTTAGTAAACATTTTACGGCACTTGCAACACTATAAGGTCATATAAGTGCCGAAGATTAGAGGGGTAACAAGAGAGTAACAGACCCAAAAAAGAAGGAGAGATTAAGACGATAGATGTCTGATAGGAAAGAAGGAGCAAACCACACCAGAGCACCAGCCAACCAGCGGGGTTTCACACTTACAGTACCGTCAGTGACTTTAGTCGCCGTGCTGTAGTATGCGCTCACTACCGCTGGCGACTTTGGATGCGTCTGACGCAACCAGGCTCACTAAACGTAATTAAACAACGAATGGAAGCACTGTACTGAAGTAAATATCAAAGGCAGTCACTCTATGCGACAGCGGAGTGGTTGATGAACCAATTGGAATTTTTAAAGCGTGTTTCTTGGGCTGCTAAAGTTTTTTTTTCAATTTTAAAAAACTCTACCACGGCGTCAGCATTCTAAACTTCAGTACTGTAAGTGTTAAAAATACCAAATTCTGAACGAAAACAACAAAACAACAAAACAAAATAACAACAACAAATGTGAGGCATCAGGGTAAGATTAAGCGTTTGTCAAAATAAAAAAATCGAAGAAGAAGGCACTTTTCGGCCAGTTTGGCAAGTTTTATCGAATTTTTTTTTTTTTTTGACTCAACACCTTTTATGTCCATATAACAACAAATTTACGTGGGAATTCTCCTGAAAAAGGTTAATTAAAGGCACAAAATATAAACAATTTAAGTTTTCAATGAATCTCAAGTTTTGAAGTTACCAGACTTTGGCGGCCAGTTTCTCGGTAATTTAACCTCCGAAACCAGATGACCCCCACCTACTTTAATCGCAAATATCTCGACTTCTGTTCAAGATAAATGTCTATTTTTTCCATCGAGCAGCAAGACAAATGAACAGGCTTTAAGATGATACCAAAACCCCATATGCCCCAAAATTGACGAGCGCCTGATTCCACCCCGTGGTGGCACAAACGCTCAAGCAGTAGAGTGGACTCACTCGTCAATCTGTCCCGGGTTGCCCCAGTTCTTCCCTCCGGCGTCGCCATGACCCGTGTGGATGAAGCTGTTCTTCAACGGGACGCTGATGTCATTTCCTGCCGGTACAAACATGCATGTATGAAGGTAAGGTAGGATAAGATACACATCTTTATTATCCAGATTCTGGCACATTGGTTTGGTGTTTCACCACATGTACACATACACAGACACACACACAGACACACACACACGCACACAGACATACACATGCACACACACGTAGGCTTACAATCACATGCATAATATAAATGAGCAGGAATATAAGCAATAATAATCTTAAGATATACACACTCAATGTTAAATGATGCATGCTCTAACTCTAAGGTCGTCGTCGTTGTTGTTTTCAAATCCCCTAAACTGCGAGCCTTTCGCTCTCGGCAGCGCAAGGCCTCCCTCAAGAAACCACAGGTCCTTGTCAAGCACGCACATACACTCAGGGTTCCGGTCATGAACTCCCCACCAACCAAATTCAGGGAGATTAAAAGGAGGTCTTAAGGAGAAATTTAAAAAATTCAAGGAGATTTGGTCAAGAAATTTATGCCGTTTTCGACAGCGCGCCAAGAGCAATCCGCCAAAAATTTTGTTTAGGTCAGATTTGGCGAAATTCAAGAAGTTTTCAAGGAAGTTCCAAAAATTTAACGAGTTTTCAGGAGATTTTTCCTTGAACACAAATTCAAGGAGTTTTTAAGGATTCCTTTAATTCAAGGAGGCCGCAGAAACTGATACACACACTTGGACAAGGTTTTTTAGTTTTAGTAAAAGTTTTACGGCACTTGCAACACAATAAGGTCATATAAGTGCCGAAGATTAGAGGTGTTACAAAAGAGTAACATACACAAAAAAAGGAGGAGAGATCTGGACGACAGATGTTTGATAGGAAAGAAAAAAGAAGCAAACCCCACCAGAGCACCCGCCAACCACCCACGGCTTTTGTTTACCACTGGGACAGTGCAACTCAACAAACCAACACAACTCGCTATATTTCCACTGGAAATGGAGGGGGCGGGG